CCGGGGTGAGGCGGGCGCCCGGCGGCGAGGGGAGGGGCCTCGCCGGGACTCGGTGCCTCCCGGGTGCCGCGGACAGGGGACCCTCCCCGTGGACCCCATCCCTACAGCCGGTAGCCTAGGGCGCACTGGCCTTGACCCCCACCCAGCCCGCGCCCCCGAGGGCCCGGGGGTCCCGGGAAGGGCGTCAGGCTGGCCGCTGGCCCGGCTCCTTCTTGGGGTCCCCTTACCCCTCCTCGTGCACCCGAGGTCCCCCAGCCCAAGCCTGACTTCTTGGGCATCCTGCCTGCATGGAAGGTTCTGGCCTGAGAGAGGACCCTGCGCCCCCCCATTTCCACACCTCCCCCCCTCCACCTGGCCCTGGCCTTCCAGTACATTCCCAGCCTCCTTGAAGGACCTGGGTCAATATTTGCCAAAAATTCTGTCAAATGAAACAGGGTAAGGAAAGAAGGGGTTCACTGGGGGGCATTCTGGGTCCACTCTTCCCCGAGTGGGAGGTTTGGGCTCTGGCTGCCCGAGGTGGGGTGGGTAAGGACGGCCGGGGCTGTCCACCGGCCTGGGCCAGCGGGGCCTCGGCCTGCAGGCAGCGGGCTGTGGGCGTCTGGGGACTTGAACCCCGGCTCCGGGCGCCGTTCCGGGGCTTGTTTCGCTCAAGGCTGGCACTTTGCCCCTTGAGCCGCAGCCCCACTCGTAGTTTACTGGTTCTCCCGGGCTTTTCGGCCCTGGCTGGCCTCGAACCTCCAGCCTCCGGAGTGGATCAGGGTGGCCGGCGGGGCCGGGCCGGGTGGGGGGACCCGGCTCGCGCTCTGCGGGGCCTGAGGACCCCCCCTTCCACTTTGCGCCTGTCGGCTGAGCTCTTCCCCGGTCCCTCCGTGGAGTCCCGTTCCCTTCTCGGGCTGGAGCAGCGCACGTCGGCGTGGATCGGTGCTGCCGGGACCGCCGAGGGCCGGGAGGAGGTCGGAAGGCCAGGCCTGCGGTCTGGGCCTCGCGGAGGAGACCGGGCAGAGAACCTCCCAGAACCGGGCGCAGCTACGCCAGGCCCTTCTTCGCGGCGGACACGGGACGGAGTCGGAGCCGCCGGCGCGGAGGCCCGGGGTGCGGGGCGGCGCCCGCCCGGCTTCCTCTCCCAGCTCCCTGGCGTGCCCGGGGCGCAGGGGGGCGGGCGTGGGAACCGCGGGGGGCGGTGCTGGCAGGCTCTGCTGACGGATGGGACGCGGGGGGCGCGCCGGGTCCCAGGCCCGAGCACCTGGGTGGGTGGAGGCTGAAGATGGGGCCCGGGGCCCCCCAGCCCCCTCCAGGGGAGCTGTGTCCGGGAAGCCCGGCCGCGCCTGCCACCCCGGAGCCCGGTCCCCACCTCCAAGAGGGCGCCCAGGGCCCGAGCCGGGCGGGGCCACCCCGAGTCCACACAGGGGACCTGGAGTCCCCGGGTCCCGTCCCCGGTCGTCGAGGGGGGCAGGCCCCCGGAAGGGGGTCACCCCTACTCCCACGGCGGTCTCCGGGGCCGGGTT